ACAACGGCGCGATTATAATGTGTGTCGCGAAATCAAATTCTAAACGTGTTCGCGTAAATTCGACACGAATTCACGCACATTCGTGCGACGCATTCAACGGATTCGGGCCGGGCATTTGTATTCGTATTCGTATTCACGGTTTTTACGCCGAAATTTTTAATGGACCGCTGGTACAATGTAAAAAAATATGGTACAAGTATATACCATTGCGAAGGATTGTTATGGATTCCGTCGGAGCGTGTGCCAGAAAACCATAAGATATAAGTCGACAATAATATTTATTTATTACAGTATTATTTATAGGTTTTCGAAAATCGCTTTTTTTCTGCGGTTTCGAGTGTGAAAGTCTCACGGGGAATGAGAATAAGAAACGAGTCTAATAACGACGGTTTTTTTTTTTATTTTTTGTTTTTTTAATACTATTTTCGAAGACTCGTTTTATATTTTTGATATTCGCGTCGCCTATACACACGGCGACGATTACATCTACGTTTTTGATCGATTCCGCGATTGGTGTTTTCACATACACTATATAGCTGATAAAATAGCCGCACTACATGTATTATGCCATATTCAAAGAGACGCCGCAATAAACAATATATAGCGTATAGGTAACGAATATTAATGAGAATGTAAAAAACGATAATCTTTTTATATGAATAGAAAAAAAAACAAAAAACCCGGGTGGTATTTCAATGTTTTCCCCGAAAAACGGTCGGCACGCATTTATGCGTACAAATATGCGATATAAATGTTTGAAATCAAACGCGATCCGTTTTGACGGTATTGGTCGCGCGGAAAGTTTTTTAAAACGTATAATAACCGATAATCGTATCTGAAAAAAAAATGAGAAATATTACGGATTAGTACTAGTAATACTAGTTTTGCGGCCTCAACATTGCATGTATAGAGCTAAACATGATTAATCAACACGATCGAATTTGACCATATAACCTAAAATCTTACTCACGATCCCGCAACGAGTATATTATTTCCGGGCGAACGGCCAATTTTTGATTTTCTTTTGGTGTCTACTACAGTTCTCCCGGATACGTATGCGTGATAACAAAAAAAAAAAACAAAACAAAAATGACCGACTACAATAAATTAAAATCGGTTTCATTACACGTTTTGTAGTTGTGCATTTATCGCCCTGTACGGCTGCACCGAATACACAATTTACCGTTGTCGGCGTCATATATTAGATATTAATACATTATTTTTAATACCGTTATTTTAATACAATATTTGTTTGTATAGTTTTTTTTTAATGAAATCCAACCGAGTTCGGAGCTGGTCTTTTGTACAACTTGTTTATGAATCGTGAAGTTCTTCATTGTTAACTATTTTCCCCGGCCGTTTGGCTAGACCGAGCAGTCTAGTAATTGTATAACTCAAAAGACATGTAGTATTAATTCGTGTAATACCTTTTTGCTTGTCCGTGGCGCGATTTTTCGACATAACGCGTAATGGGACTTTTACTTTTCGGAGTTGGCAATTATGAATTTGAAATTTCTATCACCCCGGGAGAACCGCAGAGGTATCGCCGCACAGAACCCGAGAGGGTAATTCGCGTGTACGAGTCTCTAGAAGCCGACATTTTAAATGTACACCATAATACGATACTATGGATACGGTTCGCGGCTAGTTTGTTATGATTTTATGTCTAATGTTCGTAATGACGGCCAATACAAAACGGCTTGGAGGCGTAAGGCTCAAAGGAGCGGGCGAGGGGGATAAAATCCTACAACCCGAATATCATTCCGCGAATGAAACTTCGATCGGGCAGATAGACAGCAGACGCGTATAGTACGCAAGATAAACATCAAGACACGGGGGGGGGGCGATAATCACTGTAACGGCCACATCCGAACGCAAAGCCGTATAAAAACTGTGCGAGACGGGAAACGTTGTGACGCGCGTTCCTCGAGGCGTGCTCGTCTCTCAAGTGTAGGTTAAAATATAATTCGATGACGGTGTCGGGGTGATGGGCGTGTGCGTGCAGGGCATTTGGGTATTGGCGAATAGCGGTCGTGAAACAGAAGTGGGACCGCGGGTCCGGGGCTTTCGGGGAGGCGTTTATGAAAAAGCTGGGCGCGTGTCCGCCGTCCCGAACGCACGTTTTTTCGCGCCGTCGAACATTACGACCGCAGTTAACGGAAAAAATCCGTTACCGTGCGCTGTTCGACGTTCGGAATCGGCGGAAACGTAGAGCGGATTCGCCAATACGCATCTGTTGTTGGCGGATTGTTGTTGGCGTTTCGCTTGTTTTTTTTTACCCGTAAACGCCGGTTGGGTACGCGCACGGACAGCGAACTGCCGTTGCACAGCGCGAACGCCACACCGACGAACCCGCGCGTCGCCGGCTAGTCAAATAAATACGCAATAACGATTGTTAATATCGCGTAACGTAAAAGTTACCGAACAACGAAAACGACGCACGGCCCGCGCGCGAATTACCGTACGAAATGACAAACGCAGAACACGGCGCGTAGAATGGTATCATCGCGGCAACATCGTTGTGACGTTATTGTTCTGAAAACGCGGAAAACGTCTCGGGGGGAAAAAAACTGCGAAATGCGGTTTTTGCGTTTTTTTCTCACTCTGTCACGCGGATTTATCCGTACGAACAATGACGGCGACAAGGTCTGGGGAATATCGTTTTTCAACGCGGGCCGGTGTGCACGCGGGTACGTTCGTTTCGCATTGTCCTGACGCGGAGTCACGGAAGAGTTTCGAAACGTTTAACACGCGCACGGGGGGCATGTTAGTGGCCGGAGGACGACGATAACCGCCTACGGTTCGGCTTGTGCCGCCGAAAACCGTTTGTTTTCTTTCTCCTCGGTAAATTTACCCGGTTCGTGATTCTCAACGTCCTCGGGACCGTAACCCGCAGTGTCCGACGGGACGGTATCGCGGTCGTCGTTCCGTCCGCGCCGAGAACATTCCGAACGACTATTGCCGTTTGGTTCGGTTCGCGAAAATCCCGCCATTGACGTCCGAAATCGAACACAAAAATATTGAACGCGCGATTGTCGTTTATTGTCGCGGACAACGCCGCGGAGCGGTGCGTGCGAAACGAGCGACGCCCGGCCACGGACAAATCGGGTCCCGGCGCGTAGCGAGAAACGAAATTTCGAAAATTCATCGCCCGTTGGAAGAGGGGGAGGGGGCGGGGAAAATTCTACCGTCGACGGTTTCTCAGTCGTTCGATTGTAATCCGTACACCACATCGCTTTACGCGCAACGAGAATATTCGGGATCCGGCGGATTTTTTTTTTCCCTCGAAAATAACAACAATGCCGCCGTCTGTTGTGTAGGGGGGGGGGGGTTAAATACATTTCCCGTTGACGAAATGTGTTATTTTTGTATTTTTTTTTCTGAAATATTTCTCGCGCTCAGCGTTCCTATCGGAATTACTACGCCCGTACACCGACTTTGGTGCGCGCACTAATATTTCAAGGAAAACTCCATTTAATTTTTTTTTTTTTTCTTCTCGGCCTCCACCTGCTGCAACGCGATTGCACGCGGTAGATTGTGTAAAATTGTATTATTGTTATTCGTCGCCGAGGACGCGCGTTAATAATAATACAATTGTATTTTTCTACAGCGCGGCGAAATTCGTTTGAAAATCAGAAAATTTCGCGGCGGAGCCCGACCGCCCGCGCACGTAAAATTTTCCCGAAAATCCGGTACCCGACGGTTTCGGCGGCGAAAAACACAAAAGAAAAGGAGAAAAAAAAAATAAGGAGGGAGATCCGCCGTGCGGGTGTGTCCATTCCGGGTACCGATAATGGTGTGTTACACAGCAGTTGTGGCCGCAGAGGAATATAATGAAATAATATTGTTGAATAGTATAGTGTGTAATGGCAGTACGTGTTTGGCGGCGGCCGCGGTGACGACGACGGACGAAACGGCAACGTCGCACTGTCGTTCCCCACCCGGTCCGTCGGGATCGCGAGCGGCGTTGCCGAAACGCACGCACACACACACACACACACACACACGCCGCGCCGTTGCTGTGCTGCCCGGCGGCGCGACTCCTTCGACTTGTCAAACTGTCAAGTTTCGGTGGGGCTTCCTAGACCCCCTCCCACCCCGGCGCGCCGCCGACCCGCGCCGCGCCGGTCGACGGGCGGGCGAGCACGGGGGGTACGGGACGACGGCACGGCGGTATGTCGGCGTACAGTCGGCGGCGGCGGCGGCCTGCGGGCTCCGGGTCTTTGATTAACGGAGGGTCTGTGTGCAGGCTGTACAGCCGCACCGCTCCGCCGCCGCCGCCGCCGCACCGCCGCCCGGTGTTCCCGTCGTGAACGCGCGAGCGTGTGTGTGTGTGTGTGTGTGTGTGTGTGCGCGTGTACGTAACACTAGAGTGGGGAAAGCGTGTGTGTGTATGTGCGAGCGTGTTTACTACCAGCGGGGAAAGTATGCGTGTGTGTGTGTGTGCGTGTGGCTCCTCCGCATACAAAAGCGTTGCGCCCGCTACGCACACACGCACGCACACACGCACACACACACACGTGCGCTCTCGGACCAGTGGCCGATGGAAAGGGGGTGGGGGAGAGAGATACAACAGGTTTTGGAAGTAAAAAAAAAAAAAAAATACCTATACGTTATATTATTATAGACACACGGACACACATAGACGTACGCGCGTAGGTACGAAAATTACGTACGTGTACCGCGGGTACAAAGACGGGGGAAAAAAAATTACTCATCCCGAGGATGAAATATGAAAATTATTCTGGTCCAGTTTTTTTTTTTTTCCTCATCTTTTGTCTCTTTCTCTCTCTTCGTATTTGTATAATATTTTTAAACCGTGTGAGCCGTGTGTACGTGGAATGCGCGCGCGCGCCTTATACGAAAAAAAAAAAAAAAACGAAAAAAAAAATACGAAGAATTCCTTTGGAGAAGTGCCGTGATCTCGGGTTGGGTTTTTTTTTCCATTTTGTTTTAGTATTTTATTATTTTATTATTATTATTATTTTTTTTTTTTTATCGTCCCGTCTACGGCGGCCGGAGGAGGTGTCTTTTGGAATTCGAATGAAATTTATTTAAAAAAAAAAAAAAAAAAAAAAAAAAAAAAAGAGGGAAATAGCGGAGACTCGGCATTCGGGAAGAAATTCCAGACGAACAAAACAAACGCGAAAGCGTATATTATTAATCTTTTTACGTATACAAAAAACAACGCCGAAAAAAAAATAAAATACATTTACGTAAAACAATAGTTTTAAAACACGTCCGTTTCGGCGTTTCGTACGACAGTTTCCGTAAAACGCATGCGGAAATATTCGCCGACGATATTAAAACGGGAAATCGAATGCGCCTCAGATCGATCAGAATAGTCCGTTCGGCATGGATATCGTGGCATTTACGGGGGAGTGGTGGGATCGGTGAAAAGCCGCGATCGCGGGACGACAATCGGTGTAACGCGACAGTCGCTGTCGCGTTAGCCGATAGCAGTTCGAGCTGTACAATCACTGTCGCACCGTCGCGACAGACGCTATCATCGTACGCGCGCGACAGCGGCTGTTTGGAACCAGCGGCGTAAATACGTGGGGGGGGCCCTCCTCCCCCGGAAACCTTTTTCTTCTGATGTTTCCGGTACACAATATAAATACGTTACGATTTTTTTAAGTACACTCAATAAATTCCTTATCTCGTGTGTGCGTCGTACGGCACGCAACATAACTATTTATTTGGATTGATCGGTCACGATCGTTTATTAATACAATTAATTATGCGTTTATCGATTCGGATTTCGATTTCGATAATATCATCGACGATCGTAAAGGTTTTGCGATTGCAAGATAGTAACTAAATTTTTTTTTTTTTTCACGCGAGACTCGAATGGATTAGCTGCCGGTGTTCGTAAATATAGCACATTAACGTGCAGGTCGGTGAAACAGTTGACGAGCAGCTGCTGGCGAACAAACCGCGAAAATTCGATGTTTGATCGTAACCATTAACTTTTGTTCTCTCGGGTGCTGTTAACACTCGTTAAGCGCGTATGTACTCCTTGTTATTTACGGCAAACGCTCTCAACCCCCCTCCCCCCACTCCCCCACTCCCACCCCCAAGATAGGATCCTGGTCACGCCACTGTCACGAACACCGTATAGTATCTGTGCGGCGCGAACGGCGGCGTCGTCGTTGCGTGCACCAAGGCGGAAAATAACCGCGCCAAAACGTCTCGGTTGTCGAATTTTTAATCATTTTCGCCGCGAACATAATTCGAACTCGACCCGTCCGGATGATATTTTCTGACAACGCTAAAACAATAATGGTTGTGGACCGGCGGTTCTTAACGTGCGACCCTTAGGTGGCGTTTCGGTCCGTCGAGGCGGCGCCAGGGTTTTAAAGAAGGCGTTGGCGGTGGAATGGGGTGGGGAGGGGGGGTCGGCGAGCTTTTAAACGCGGAACGATGGAAAAATCAAAAAAAAAAAATCGCCAGCATCCAGCGGGCGACACGTATTATCGCACGTAAAGTCCGAACAGTTACGTAACGGGGCCAGGATTAGGCTTGTGATTCATAGTCGGCCAAGAGATTGTCGTATAACAATAATGAAAGAAAAGAGAGAAAGAGAAAAAAAAAAAAAGACCATCAGCAAAAGATTCCTGTAATATAACATAATAATAACTCGTACGGAGAGAGAAAAAGCAAAAGACCAATGGGGCGATAACAAGCCTACAGTTTTGCGTGAGGGGGCGTTAGCAGTCAATTATCTCGGGGCGCTGAAACGATAAACGTCAAGAACCGCCGATGTGAACGCTGCGCTGTGCGCTATCACACCGTGCACGCAAACACCGTCAGTGACGGCGGCGGCGAACTATCGCGACAGCGGTGTTAATTTCGCGACGGCAACGTTACCGCCGTCGCCGTCGTGTGACCGTAATTTATTATTATTTTTTTTTTTTTTTTCATCTATCTTGACGTACGTATTACAAATTCATTTATACGGGCACGGGCCAGAGAGACGTCACTCAGAGCGAGTAACGATAGTTTCGGAAAAAAATTTATCGCCGCCCGTCGTCGAGTACAATTTATCGGGGCGGGTGTATTTTTTCGGCTCTTCAGAATTTATCGTCCGGTAACGAATCGATCGTCTTTTCATTTGTGGCGCACGGTTGACGAAAGCCGAGTGCTGCGATTGACCGCGGTATCGGATATTGTACCGGCTCAGTCATCACGCATTGCCGACCCTACGCCAATTGATAACTGATCGATATCGGCCGTTGGCGGTGTTCGGAGAAAAACGAAATTCTGTCCCATACGGACCGCGTTGACACGTAGCGGATTATCGAGTTTTTTAATTCCCCCCCCCCTCCATCACCCGTTATTTTGTTTTTCCTCCACGAGCGCCGCGACACGGTCACGCGTTCGAAACGATTCGAAAATCCAGTCGACTCGAAACGCTATTTCGCCCGATAAGCTCGCGTTTTCGCGATAATGTTCTTCGGCGGGTTCCGGTGGAAGGTGGAAGGTCCAGGCGGATAACCAATAACGTCCGTGTCCCGCCGTACGGTCTCTCCGTTCACCGTCCGCACGGTAAACGCGCACGAAACCGTTCTTGTTTGCGATTCCGGATAGCGCGTTCAATCTATAGCGTCGTGCTATCTCTCGTCTGCGGTTGCGGCGCGTCGCCGCGAACAGCAACCGATCATTGGTCCCGGTCGGCGTTACGTCGCGAACGCGTTCCCTCCCGTCGTTTTCCGAGAAGATCGTTGGCGGCATTTTCGTTTCCCCCTCCCCCACCGGGACGTTTTCGACCGTCTTTCGGACACTGATGGCCGTTCGACAGTTTTCGCGAGCATTCGTGCCGAATTCAATTGTGCCCGAGGTTCGCTACGGTCTCGCCGTTATGTCGTCATTTATTCCGCGCGGGTGAATTATTGAAATGGTCAAGGGATAGATAAATGAAGTATGAAACGTAATAGCGTGACGGTTCGGAAAAAAAGAAAAGAAAAAAATTTACCACACATTCCACACTTGTATTGTCTTATACTGTTGTAAGACAACGGGACCGTTATGAAACCAAAACACGGCCGGCAATCGTAACCGCGCGTTTCTCCGCGGCCGACGACCGGCGGAACGTTTAACGGGCACGGGGTCTAGTGGACAATGTTGCGCGATCGTTCCTCTGCCCGATTAGACGGCGAGAATTCAAACGTAGTCGGATCCGAGGAAAACGAAGCCGTTTCCCGTTCGGGCTCTTTTCGGCGCGATCCGACCGAACGAAAAAAAAACCGCTCGGCGGTTGTTGCGTTTCGCGCGGACGTAGGGCCGGACGAAACCCCCTCGGCCCGCATCCCTCGCACGCGCCAATGGCGGTTCGCAAACGTCCACGGCCGAGCATTTTTTTTTTTTTTCCCCCGTACATTCGGACGATTGTTATCGCGTTTAACGTGTTTCCGACGAATCGACGGAACCGATTGTGGGATGCGCGTGCGACCCCGGGGGTCGTCGACGGGCGCCGAGAACGCGGGAAAATGCACCGCCCGCGCAGAATATCGCCACTGTTTCAACCGTTCGGGCCCGTTCGATATTCGCCGTTTCGACTATCCGATCAGTTCCGGTTAGGTGTACCGCGTGTTCCGTGTGTTGTGAGTGACGATTCTTACCCTCCGTTCGGGTTCGTAATTGTTTGTGTTTACCGATTGCACCTAAGGCAATGCGCGCACTCCTCGTGCAGTCGCGCGTTCGGCTACTTGCCCGTCGCGCGTATGGCATCGGGACACTTCCGGACCGGCCCGAATGCCGCACTGCAACCGGAGCGCCCGCGCAGGACCCCTCGCAAATGTACACTGCCGTGCGACCGCATCGTTTATTAAAAACACGTTCGTTTAAAAATCAGAGTGAATCGACCTATTATTATAGAATTTTTAAGGCGAGGCAACGCGTCACGGGCTTTTTACGGTGTTTTGATTTCAAAGCGCGTTATGAATGTTTAACAATTGTATATTGTTTGTAGTACATTTTGAAATACTCCGTAACTCGCTTTAAAATTAAAATATAATAAAAAGCCCATGGCGTATAAACCAATCTTATATTGAAATAACGATAAAGAAAAAAAGCATTTTCATTTTATAATGTTATGTTCATCTGATCCTTGTTGTCTGTGATTGGATTGTGTCTGATGACGAATTTGACGACGAAATCACGAGTGGTAAAATTCTCTATCGAAGAAATACATTTTTTGTTATACTAACGACGGTTTTTTAACTTCATGTTTAAGAATTAGAAAAGAAACTTGTACGGATCGTGAAAAAATTTACGCATGCATTCCTCGTTTATTCGAGCAACCCGATGACGAATCAGTTAGAGAGAGTTGTACAAATATTGCAAGCCGTTTTGCTTCTGACACCGAAAGTGACACGATATTTTATGACGAATGTGACCATTTACAATGTATGCTTTTAACTGAAGTGTCAACGGATTCATCGTGTAAAATGTTATCTTTTATAAAAAAAAAAAAATCATTATTACGATATTTTTCCCAATTTATCTGTGGTTTTAAAAATGTACTTGTCCACCGCACTCGGTAATTGTTCAGGGGAACGTTGTTTTTCTGCTCTGAAACGAATAAAGAGCTGTTCGGGGTCTACAACAGCATGTAATAGATTAAATGCATTATCTCTATTAAATATAGAAAACGAATTTCTCCAAAGCTTGGATTATTCTGATATAGTTACTGAACTCGCTACCAGGAAATCCAGAAAAAAAAAAATAAAAATCAACTGACGTTAGTATTTTGTGTAACTAGGTAAGTAATTAATATTAAAATATTAGCTACTAAATACTTATTTTTATTGTACTCTGTTTGTTTTTATACGATTTTTTTTTTTTTTTAATGTTACTATAATAATGTAATGTAAAGTACATTGATTAAAAACAAATATACAATTCGTTTTTGAATATGCGACCCGAAACTTCCGTGTTTGAAAAATGATAAATATAATAAAGGTGCTATTCTATACAAGGCCTGGGAGCCTTTCGTAAATTTCGTAACCCGGCACCGGTCGTATTGAAAACCTTTAACAAACAGAAGATACAGCGAATTAATAAAATATCGTATAGATCTTCGTATTTAGATGTTATATGCGATGGCGCTCACAGAGATATTGACGGAAATGAGTTATATCATAAACTTCAAATATTTAAATCCCCCGTGAAAGAAAACACAACTGCACTTCAATCTGTTTCCCTATTGAAAATATCGAATTGCTCATTTCCAAACATAAATATTACTCATCGAATAATGCCAATTGGTCGTACCTACCTGTTTTGCCGGTTTTTGTCGAGAGATTATTCCCGAAATTAAAAT